TGCCCTATGACCCAGCAATTGCACTGTTAGGGATTTACCCCAAAGATTCAGATGCAATGAAACGCCGGGACACCTGCACCCCGATGTTTCTAGCAGCCATGTCCACAATAGCCAAACTGTGGAAGGAGCCTCGGTGCCCATCGAAAGATGAATGGATAAAGAAGATGTGGTTTATGTATACAATGGAATATTACTCAGCCATTAGAAAGACAAATACCCACCATTTGCTTCGACGTGGATGGAACTGGAGGGTATTATGCTGAGTGAAGTAAGTCAATCGGAGAAAGACAAACAGTGTATGTTCTCATTCATTTGGGGAATATGAATAATAGTGAAAGGGAATATAAGGGAAGGTAGAAGAAATGTGTGGGAAATATCAGAAAGGGACACAGAACATAAAGACTCCTAACTCTGGGAAACGAACTAGGGGTGGTGGAAGGGGAGGAGGGCGGGGGTGGGGGTGAATGGGTGACGGGCACTGAGGGGGACACTTGACGGGATGAGCACTGGGTGCTATTCTGTATGTTGGTAAATTGAACACCAATAAAAATTAATTTATTAAAAAAGTCATATACTGAGAGAGAGAGAGAGAGAGAGAGAGAGAATTATAAAACTATAAAACCCCTTCTCTTCAGGAGAGAACAGGGAAAAACTCATGATCTTGGAGTTGGCAATGGATTCTTCAATTTGACACCAAAGCATAAGCAACAAAAGAACAATTACATAAACTGGTCTTCATCAAAATCAAAATCAAGGGACATCTGGGTGGGTCAGTGGTTTAGTGCCTACCTTCAGCCCAGGGCATGATCCTGGAGTCCTGGGACTGAGTTCCACATTGGGCTCTCTGCATGAAGCCTGCTTCCCTCTCTCCCTCCCCCCCCCCCGTGTCTCTCATGAATAAATAAATAAAATCTTTTAAAAAATTTACACAGAGAATTACCCTATGACTCAGGAAGTTCGCTTCTATGTATATAGTGGAAAGAATTGAAAACAGGTATTCAAACAAATAATTGTACATAAATGTATATAGTAGCACTATTCACAACAGCCAAAAGGTGGAAATTACTCAAATTTCCATCAACTGAGAAATGCATAAACAAAAAGTGGCATATTCATATTACAGAATATTATTCAACTCAAAAATGGAATGAAATACTAATGGTTGTTACAAAGTGGATGAACCTCGAAAACATTATGCTAAGTTAAAGAAGCCAGACACCAAAGGTCACGTATTGTATGATTCCATAAATATTAAGTATCCAGAAGGCAAATCCATAGAAACGGAAAGCATATTAGTGGTTGCCAATGGCTGCAGGAGGGAGGGATGGACAGTTACTGCCAAATGAGTAAAGGGTTTCATTTTGGGGCGATGAATATGCTTTGATAGTAGATGGTGGTGATGGTGGAGAACACTGAATGTATTAAATGCCACTGAATTGTATACTTTAAAATGGGTGATTTTGGGATCCCTGGGTGGCGCAGCGGTTTGGTGCCTGCCTTTGCCCCAGGGCGCGATCCTGGAGACCCAGGATCGAATCCCACATCGGGCTCCGGGTGCATGAAGCTTGCTTCTCCCTCTACCTATGTCTCTGCCTCTCTCTCTCTCTGTGTGTGACTATCATAAATAAATAAAAATTAAAAAAAATAAAATAAAAAAATAAAATGGGTGATTTTATGTTACTTAAATTTTACCACAATTTTCAAAAATAACATAAGGGAAAAAATCATTATGGAAAGATTGTGATAAAGGGCACAAGTGGAATAAGATGTGGGACAATGCATCAGTTTGAATGTCCTAAGCCTCTTCTATGTACTGCATTCCCCCAATCCAATCCCACTCTCATTAAATCTAGATTGTTGTCTGTTTGAACACATATTGATGAAACTGCCAAAAATGGAATAAATATTGAGAAGAAAAGCCTTAAGGAAAAAAAAAAGCCTTAAGGTATAAAGGAGCTAAATCTAAAATTTGTAATTAATCCTTTTATATTTTTCATTCTTCTTGAATTTTGTCTCAAATTTTGAATTGTGGAAAGCTTAATATCTTTTTACCTGTGGAAAAATAAGATTTACTATTCAGATTTCAACATCAAGTAGAGCCTAAAAACATATGCTATGTTAGGCCTTACACTTTTTATACTGAAATTAATGCAGATAATGCAAGTAAGACTTTTTTTTAAGATTTTATTTATTTATGAGAGAGAGAGAGAGAGGCAGAGACTCAGGCAAAAGGAGAAGCAGGCTCCATGCAGGGAGCCTGATGTGGGACTTGATCCAGGGACTCCAGGATCACGCCCTGGGTGGAAGGCAGGCACTAAACCGCTGAGCCACCCAGGGATACCCGTAAGACTTTTTTAAAAAGATTTTATTTATTTATTCATGAGAGACACAGAGAGAGGCAGAGAGACACAGGCAGAGGGAGAAGTAGGCTCCATGCAGGGAGCCCGATGTGGGACTCCATCCCAGGACTCCAGGATCATGTTCTGAGCTAAAGGCAGATGCTCAAGGGCTGAGCCACCCAGGCGTCCCGCAAGTAGGACTTTAAATGAGCAGTAAAAACATGACCCGTAATAAGTCACCATTCCATCTGAGGTCTCCTGGTAGTTACATCCCTTAGGATAGTGATGAGACAATTAAAGCCAGAGGACTGATGAATCCAGATAATTACCATTAAAAACAGCCAGATTCTCTGCACAGAATATACAATTATCGAATTTCTATATTGTACAACTTAAACTAATATATCATTGTATATCAACTATATTTTGAGAATAAATTTTTAAAAAATAAATAAAATTTAAAATAGCCAGTTTAACTCTAGCATATGAATCTATTAAAATACGCAAAGAAAAAGAATACTTTAATCTCAATCAAGGAACATAATAGGAAGTAGTTTCAAAAACTACTATTTAGGCTGCAGATCTAGACAATAGCCTAGTGAGTCTGAAACACTCCTCTTGAGAAGTTGGCTAATCTTCCGCAGGAACGCAATGATTATGCGGGAACTTTAGCAAGGCAGGCTGGAGAGGTGGCTCATGAAGATCTAAAAAATGAAATGAATGTTAAGGTTGAAACGTTTCCATCGATTTGCTAACTGAAACTGACCAAAAAGGAGAAAAAAACAAATGCCTGTTTCTTCTCAAAATCCATATTTAATTTCATAACCACTGGATTATGTTATATATTCAGGTTCTAAGTAGTCCTTGTCATTGGTTTATGAAACTCAAAAACAAAATTGTTCTGGTTTAAGATATTAAAAAATATTAATTTGCTGCTTGCCTGTCCCTTGGCTTGTGAACGGATTATTATGTTTCATTATACTCTCATGTGAGCCTTGTATTTAATGGCAAGAAAGGTGAATCTAAAATGTTCGAGGTAAGGGGTTATTTTATGTAGTGTATGTTTAATATATTAAATATATACGATAAGACATTCGACTATTTTAATTACCGATCTGTACTACTCGTCATGTGTAGCAAAAACATTTCATACTGTTAAAAGAAATAGCTATTTCCACGCAAGGATCGTGTAGTCATAGGTGAAGATGGTGCCCCACTGGTCCTGAGAACACACCTCGAGAGGGAGATGCAGGATTGGGGCGAGGGCCCCACAGCTGAGGGCTGAGGCCAACCAGGTCTCTGCAGCGAGGAAGGAGGTGAGTCACGGCGCCGGCTACGCAGAAAGCCGGCGGCCTGGCCGGGCGGGGGGCGGGGGGGCGGAGGGGGGGGGGACGGGAGTCGGGGGGGCGGGGGTGCCTCGAAGGAAGGCTATGCTTCTCCCCTCCCGAGGCGAGACCCTGGAACCACGGCGAGCGCAGGAGGGGGCCGCCCGGTCTCGGATCCGGGAGCTCCCGGACGCCTGGGCTCACAGAACCCGCGGCGGCACCACAGCCCAAACCTGGGGGACCGGGGGAGACATTTTGGGTGCACCGGCAAAACTCGTCCCCAGGGCTGGGGTCGTCCTGGCAACCAGAAGGGTGGTGTGTGCCAGTGTAAGTAACCCGGTCGGGCAACAGGTACACGGCCTGGGTTCCGCAGGAACCCCTCTCGCTCCCCAAGTCCGAGTGCACAAAAACCCGGGTCCTTTCTCCGCCGCGGGCTCGGAAGGACCGCCCGCAAGGACGACGGGCCGCGGGACCGGTCTCGCGGAAAGCCGCCGGGCAGCCGGGAGCTGGCGACCGAGCGCCGCCGGGCCCCCCGCCCCCGGGGAGTGGGGGCGAGGGAGGGCGCAGAGCCCGGCGCTGGCCTTGACGGGGGTCTCGGCTCGCGTTCCCTTCGCGGGCGCAGGCACCGCCCGCCCGCCCGCCGCCCGGAGGCTGGCGCCGCGTGTCCCGCACCGAGGGCGGGCACCGGCCGCCGCTTGCAGAGCACCAGCCGCGCGCGGGGCTGCCGCTTCTCCGAGAGCCCAGTGAGTAGCCCCTCGGAAGTTTCCCTTTCCCGCCCCCGGGGGAGCCTCGGCTCCTCACCGCGCCTGGGGCTCAGCCCCGCCGGGAAGCCCACCGCTCCCTCCCTGGAGGCCGCCGCCACCCGGGCTTGCAGGGCGCTGTGGTCCGGCTGCGGCGCGGCGGGGAGGAGGGGGGGCCGGGGCCCCGGGTGGGTCTTCGGGAGCCTGCAGGCGGGCCGTGGGCGCTTGGGGAACCTCACAGGTGGGCCCGGCCTCCTGATGGACGCGGCCCGGCCTCCAGGGACGCGGCCGCACGGACGCAGACCCCCTTGCCTTTCTGGATGAACGGCACCGGCCGTCACACGGACTGACCCGGTCCCACACGCGAAATAAATACGCAGACAACTCATTCACAGCTTTATTGAAGAGACAGAAAGTGCCCTAAAACGGAGGGTCAGTGAATGTGCACTTCTCTTGAATACACCGAGCAGGCGGCGGGTAGCGCGCTGCTCTTGATGGTGAGCTACACAGAATCCGCATGCGCTGCGAAGCGCATTTCCCGTGGGGGAAAAAGCGGTCACGGAGGCCCTTTCCGGGGCAGAGGGCTTACAGCAGAACTAGGGATGGTAGGAAAGCCGGACCGGCCACGGGAGGGCCACGGGAGGGTAGCCGCACAGAGGGAGAGGTGGAGGAAGCCAGGGCAGAGGAGGCACGAAGACCACAGGAAAGGATGGCATGAGCGGCTGAGGTGGCCCCAGCAGCAGTGGCTCCTGAAGAACCCATAGGCGATTCGGCTCCTGAATGAGGATGGTACGGCAGGGTCCACCCAAGTTAATGATGATGGGGGGGACCAGGGCCACGGGGGGCATGGTTCTGAACCTCACTGCCCTCTGGTGTCTCCTCCACTTGGCCCTCCTGTTCTTGAACCAAACCTAAAATCAGAGGGGGGGGGGAGGGAAAGGATGGGTTTAGTACATTGAGCACTGAATGTCATACGGGACAGCAGCCCACTCTCTCTCTGCCCTGCACGGTGGAACCTGCACCGGGGAAGCTATTTCCTTCTCGCTAAAACATCCTAGGGAAGTTAGGGACACGGGCCTCCCTGCAGCTCACCCGGACACAGCAGCACCCACCACGCGCCAGGCCCTGGCTCAGCTCACTGCTCTGACTCTGCCCTCCCACCCTGCATATTGCCCTTGCCCCCTGTTCTCAGCAGCAGGTGTAGCGGAGGAACCGTGCTCCGGCCCTGCTGCCGCTGTTCCACCTGGGACGTCTGTGCCCTCACAGCTGACCACCAGCTGTCCAAGTCACCCGTAGTCACCAGGCAGGTGTCACGCCGCTTGTGGGGGAAGCTCAGGGCCATTCAAAAGTCCTGCTGAGGGGAACAACGCCCACCTTCCACGTACAGAAAATCATCCATAGGGACGCGTTGGATCTTTCCACAACAGCTTTCCTTTAAGGATGGATGGCTAAAGGTTTCATCTTCCGAAACCTCTCCCTAGCTTGAAAAGACGGTATTGTGAGCGAGGCTTGGGCCCGGAGGGCCGGGAGCCCGTGGCTTGTCTTGCTGGGACAGAAGGGAGCCGAGGCGCTGGACGCGACCTGAGTATTTTAGACGTTGGGGGCAGTGAATGTTTAGACTAACTAGGACCGGATTTAGTGAAATCCTTAAAATCGTTGCCCAGCCAACGGGCTGAGGGAGAAGAGGCACACCACTGTCGCTGTTGTCAGTTCTGCAGCCTGCAGCCCGGACGTACCCTGCTCCAGGCTCTCCTGGGCTCAGCACCCGGTCAGCTCACTCTGCTCTGGCCACAGTTCCAGCACCCTGGACAGGACCCCTGCTGCCTCGACCCCCTCGACTCAGCCCGGAGGGCCCCTTCCCACCCCTTATTCTTGTTTCTGTTTTTCGCTGAAGGATAATTGACATACAATATTGTATTCATCTCGGGTGTACGACATACTGATTCCACAGTTCTCTACGTCACAGGATGGCTCGCCGCCATAAGTGGAGTCACCACCCTTCAAAGCCATACAAAAAATGATTACAGTGTTACTGACTATATTCCTTACGTCATACTCTTCATCCCCGGGACTGATTTATTTTTTCAGCTGACCTTGGTACCTCCTAATCCACCTCACTTATTTCGCTTGTCCCCCCACCCCCACCCCCACCCCTCCCCTCTGGCAACCTCGATTTTGTCCTCTGCATTTGAGCCGGTATCTGCTTTGTTTGCTCATTTCTTTTGTTCTGATGATTCCACGTATAAGTGCAATCACATGGTATTCCTGGGGTTCCTCGGTGGCAGTTGAGCGTCTGCCTTCGGCTCAGGTCACGATCTCAGGGTCCTGGAGTGGAGCCCTGTGTAGGGCTCCCTGCTCACAGGGAACCTGCTTCTCCCTCTCCTCCCTGCTCATGCTCTCTCTCACTACTTATCATTTCTCTCTAATAAATAAATAAAATCCTTTAAAAAAAAGATCATACGGTATTCTTAAGGCAAGAAGGTGACACTGACATTTTAGGAAGACCGTCAACCACCGTGTCGGTGAGGAGTCACAAAATGGCTCCTCTCTGACACCTGCCAACTGTGAACCCTACAAATGAAACCTGTGCTTTGGAGGCCACTGTACTCTCTGCATCCTACTTAACAGAATTTCTTTGTATTTCATATTAGACATTCCCAATTTGCAAATGTCACTTGAGACCAGGGGCCTCTACTCTCTCCGTTGACTCATTTTCCCTCTGCCATCTTCCTGGTTGGCCTTCCTGCTGCATGAAAATGTACTCTAACAACACCAGTGCTGTGGACCTCATCTTGGGGGGGTCCAAGTTCAGCGGAGGCCAAATCTACATAAATGCAAAGTAGCCTACGTGACATAGTCACCGATAGTAGTTCCATATTTCTAATACTGGATTCAGAAAACGACTCTCACTGCAGGTGGGGGACATCCGTTAAAATCGTCTTCACACAGGGATGCCTGGGTGGCTCAGCGGTTGGGTGTCTGTCTTTGGCTCAGGGCGTGATCCCGGAGTTCCTGGATCGAGTCCCGCATCGGGCTCCCTGTGAGGCGCCTGCTTCTCCCTCTCCCTGTGTCTCTGCCTCTCTCTCTCTCTCTCTCTCTCTCTCTCAATGTTTAAAAAAAATCGTCTTCACACAAACACTCTATGATCTCAGTTGTATGTGGAATCTAAAAATGAAAAACCCAACCACTTCATAGAAAATCAGATCAGATTTGTGACCACTAGAAGGGGTGGATGCAGAAACTGCCTTGAGGGTGGTCAAAAGGTAAAAACTTGCAGTTTTAAGAGAAATAAGGACTAGGACTAGTAACATGATGACTATACTGAGCCCTGCCTTATGGGATATAGGACAGTTTAGAGATTCAATTTCAAGACTTCTAGTCACAAAGAACAAACTGTTTGCTTTCCTTTTTTCGCTTTCTCCTTTTTAAATCTCTCTCTCTGGGACATGATGGATGGTAACTAAACTTACCATGGTAATCATTTCACAATATACGTAAGGCAGATCATTATGCTGTACACCTCAAATTTATACAAGGCTGTATGTAACGTGTCTTAATAAAACTGGGGAAAATTGGGCAGCCCCGGTGGCACAGCGGTTTAGTGCTACCCTCAGCCCGGGGTGTGATCCTGGAGACCTGGGATGGACTCCCACGTCGGGCTCCCTGCATGGAGCCTGCTTCTCCTTCTGCCTGTGTCTCTGCTCTCTCTCTCTCTCTCTCTGTCTCTCTCTCTCTCTGTCTGTCGTGAATAAATAAATAAATAATCTTAAAAAAAAACTGGGGAAAACTTGTGCAAAAATCCATGCTGTAGAGTTTGCAAAGGGAAGAGGACATTAGGTGTTTTTCCTCATTTGTTTCTTGTGGGTCCTTTGCCCTTCAGAACCCCGCTGAGAGAGCATTATGCAAGCCCATGCAGGGGAAAACCAACCCACCCACACTTTTTTTTAATAAGATTTTATTTATTTACTAGTGAGACACACACACACACACACACACAGAGAGAGAGGCAGAGACATAGGCAGAGGGAGAAGCAGGCTCCATGCAGGCAACCTGATTTGGGACTCGATCCTGTGACTCAGGATCACGCCCTGGGCCAAAGGCAGCCGCTCAACCACTGAGCCACCCAGGCGTCCCCAACCCACCCACACTCAAGGGTGTCTGTCTTCTCTGAGCTTGCTTGGCCCCCTTGACAGAGCAGAGGGGCCTGGGCCTCCCCAGCCCTGGCCACGCCTGCTTCGCCGCAGCCCAGCCCAGCCCCTGTTCTCCGGGGCCTGCTTTGCTGGGCTGCCTGGGTGGCCTCCCGGTGTCCACTTCTGCAGCCCCTTTCCTTCACAGAAGTAGACCCTGTGCATGCGGCAGAGCTAACAAGCCCACCCTGAGTTTTCTTTTCCATTCTTTCCCTCTTATTTCTCTTTTTTCCCCCAAATTATCCTTTGATTCCACTTAGGCTTTCTGTGGTTTCAATCACCCCTTGATCCATCGAGCCACAAGTGAGCCGTCCCTGACTGAGCCAAGGACAAAGTCTTTCCAGTTGCCCCCGGCAGAACCCGGCCTGAGCTAAGAGCCAGTCCCCACTAGTGACCAATTCCACACAATCTCTTCCTAAAAGGACAAGCAAAGGACGATAAAAATCACAGGTGTCAGACATTCCCAAACGGAATCTTCACCAGTGCATTTGGTAGTTTCAGAAATTGGAACGTGAGTCACGTCCAAGAGGCACAGGTCACGCCTTATGCTTCCACCTGTGTTAGGATGGCTTCCACCTGGTTAGACTGGCCTCCACCTTTGTTAGGTTGGTGGAACCCTGTTTGAAATTGTTGTTTCCGTTTCTTTTGTCTTTTAGACAGATTTCAAAGGTTGCACCGGGGCATCTCCACCATAATGCACAACCTACTGTCTAGCAGTGTTTTCAGGCTGACGCATCCAGGAGTTCCAGAAAATGAAGAAGTAGCCCTGCCACTCTCCACACCTCTTTACCAAACCCTTCAAAGCAGTAGCTCTAAAACTAAGTAAATGAAATTTAAAGCTCTTAAATGCGATCTTTCTTTCTTTCTTTCTTTCTTTCTTTCTTTCTTTCTTTCTTTCTTTCTTTCATTAAAAAGTGAAATTCCTGGGCAGCCCCAGTGGCTCAGTGGTTTAGTGCCGCCTTCGGCCCAGGGCGTGATCCTGGAGACCCAGGATCGAGTCCCACGTCAGGCTCCCTGCATGGAGCCTGCTTCTCCCTTTCTGCCTGTGTGTCTGTGCCTCTCTCTGTCTGTCTGTCAGGAATAAATCAATAAAATCTCTTTAAAAAAAATGAAATTCCCTTCACCTGAATCCTAGAGCAAGAAATCATACATATAAAACCACCACCACCACCACCACAACAACCAAATACAGCAGGAGTTCCGGGCACTTGCACAAAAAGCCTAAAAGCAGTAATAGTAAAAATAAATACATTTCTGAACTTTTAAAATAAAGTGAAAAAATAAAAATAAGATTAAAACTAAATTACAGTAATTTTATAATTGAAAGATAAAATTGCTTTCGTGTGAATCCTAGAACAAAAATATCATATATTAAAAGTGAACACCAATAGCAGGAGGCCTAGGCAGTTGTACTTTATGCTACACCCTCCCCATAAGTCTCAGCTTAACTTGGACGTTAGGTTCTTGCTTCTCTGCTGTGTCATAGGTGTGACATCTTCCCCGAAGCCAATGCCCAAATATTTGTCAATTCACTCCTTATACAAAGAGCTTATGCTTGTTTTCAGTAGATTAGTCTAATTAAACTCCTTGGTGCATTAATGTGAACGATTTCTACTTCAGACTCCATCTGGATGTGTCCCGACAATGAAGTGTCGCCTAAATGATAACCCGTTCAGAAGATGCGCTCTGTGTGAGTATGTGTGCTTTTGGGCATTGATTTCTTTATAGTTCTATAAAATACATATGTTTAAGTATATAGTATTATAAAATGTGCTCTATCTAAATATATTACCTATAGGGACACTTGGGTGGCTCAGTGGTTGAGCGTGTGTGCCTTCCGCTCAGGGCGTGACCCTGGACTCCCGGGATCGAGTCCCGCATCGGGCTCCCTGCGAGGAGCCTGCTTCTCTCTCTGCCTGCGTCTCTGCCTTCTTCGTGAATAAATAAAATCTTTTAAAATATATATATATTTACATATATATATGTATATGTAAAATTATGTACAATATCTACTGGTGTCTCCAAGTTACCTGTAAGTAATTTATACATAAATATGTATATGAACTCCATAAATATACCATCATATTATACTGATCAAATAATACATGATGACTATATTCTAGAGAACCACATAATGATCTTAAGATATCAAGATATTGATGTGCTAATGAGTAACATCAATTCATAGTACATGACCATTGATTCGTATTTTTTTTTAAGATCTTATTTATTTAGGGATCCCTCTCTCTCTCTGTGACTATCATAAATAAATAAAAATTAAAAAAAATTTCAAAAAAAAAGATTTTATTTATTTATTCATTCATGAGAGACACAGAGAGAGGCAGAGACATAGGCAGAGGGAGAAGCAGGCTCCATGCAGGGAGCCCGATGTGGGACTCGATCCCGGGTCTCCAGGATCACGGCCTGGGCCAAAGGCAGGCGCCAAACCGCCGAGCCACCCAGGGATCCCATTGATCCGTATGTGATCTGTAATTAATACAGTAAGGAACACGCTATTGGCTATATTATTATGCAAGGGTTATACGGCAATTCTATGTTACAGATGACTATCAATACGGGTGATAATTATATGAATTGTATATGACTTCTATAAATGTATTTTATGTTGGCTATAGCAATGATGTCCTATGGATATCTATGGTATTTGTCGGCTATAGGAGATACTCAGGAACTCCAATAAAAAAATATACGGGGAACAAAAAAAAAAAAAGGAGATACTTAGGAAAAGAAAAGAATATGCTTTTGGTATCCTGCATATTTTTTACATGTACACTTAACATATCAAATACATATTCTGTGGATCCCTGGGTGGCTCAGCGGTTTGGCGCCTGCCTTTGGCCCAGGGCACGATCCTGGAGTCCCGGGATCGAGTCCCGTGTCGGGCTCCCGGCATAGAGCCTGCTTCTCCTTCCTCCTGTGTCTCTGCCTCTCTCTCTCTCTCTCTCTCTCTCTCTCTCTCTCTCTGTGTCTGTCATAAATAAATAAATAAATAATCTTTTAAAAAATACATATTCTGTATTAGATAAATATATAGGCATATATTCTACAAATTAAATGTACTTTGTGTATTCTATAATTTATGTTACTACATTGCATATATTTCTACAGTACATATTTATAATATATACAAAGTATATGTTAGTATATAGATCTATATTGCTTACAAAAACAGCACATATACTGTATATGATCTATGCTTGTGATTATCTTTCTATTTATTTAGTTAGTTTTTAAAGATGCTCTTTATTTATTCGTGAGAGACGCACAGAGAGAGAGGCAGAGACACAGGCACAGGGAGAAGCAGGCTCCATTCCAGGAGCCCCATGTGGGACTCGATCCCAGGACTCTGGGATCACACGCCCTGAGCCAAAGGCAGAAGCTCAACCGCTGAGCCACCCAGGCGTCCCTATTTATACTACATTTAAAAATCTATATAAATATGTGTATTATTCGTCTAATTCAGTGACATCTAAAAGGATACATAGGTACAGTTAATACAAACGTATATGTAGGTTTGTATATAAGCGATCCCCTACTATACTAATTTTTTCATTCCTTTTAGGAAATGACATTCCCTCTGGAAACGGGCAATTTCCAAAACCTGGGCTTTAGGTATCCCATGTTCCCCCCGCCCTCCGCCTTCCCCCAATCCCCCCCCTCCCTCCCCAGACCCAAAAGTTCAACACTCCGTTCCCAAATCTAGAAAAGGCAACAAAAACCCAGGAAGGTGAGAAGCTCTCTCTAGGACAACGGTGCCCAAGTCCTGATGCCGGTTTTAGAATGCCTCCCAGCCACCTTGTTTTTTTTGAGGTTTACTGACCTGCACTCTGGCTTCAGACACATCCATGAATCTTGCAAGCTCCTGGCTGAGGGGAGAAAATCACAAGTATTCAGTATGTGGAGTTGGGGGTGATTTAAATAAAATACAGTGTATTTTGTTCCTCTCTTTAAAAAGTTTTTTTTTTTTTTTCGGGGAAATGTCAGTGGCATTTTTCTGAACCAGTCTCTACACTGGGAAAAGTCACACCATTTCAGGATTTACAGCGAGATTCAGTTGACAGAGAATTTCAGGAAAGCCAAGTCTCGCGGGTAAAGGAGGCACAGTCCCCAAGAACACAGGATACTCTGATGCAGTGTCTTTTAGTGTTACCAACTTGAAAATGAAGAAAAATGCCTGAGGAACTACCTCTATGGACTTTAAGTCGTTGCTCTTACCCATTTTATGGGATTAAATTAGAGCCCTAAAACAAGGTGCCGCCCATCCATCTCTCTCTCTCTCTCTCTCTCTCTCTCTCTCTCTCTCTCTGTCTCTCTCTCTCTCTCTCTCTCTCTCTCTCAGCGATGATCAAGTTGGAGTACATTGCTGCTGGGTGCTAAGGGATGGCACAAACCGCTGTTCATTCTTTGGTTGTGTTTAAAGTGTGGGTATCACTAAATCCCCCCCTCCCCTGTCCCCGAGCACTGCCGCAGAAACCATACGCCCCCACACACACTGCTCTGTAATGGCTAGCTTGAGGCTTCCTTTTCTGGGGCAGTTTCCCCTCAAGCAAAATTTAGATTTAATTTCTATTTAGATTTAATTTTTATTTTTTTCAAAGATTTTACGTATTTGAGAGACAGTGAGAGAGAGAGAGAGAGAGAGAGAGAGAGCAAGTGCACAGGAGCAGGGGCAGAGGAGAGGGAGAAGCAGACTCCCTGCCGAGCAGGGAGCCAGCCCCACTTGGGGTTCAGTCCCAGGACCCTGGGATCCTGACCTCAGATGAAGAAGGCAGAAACCTAACCCACCGAGCCACCCAGGCGCCCTCAGATTTTGTTTTCAAAGAATCTCTACAGCCGGCGTGGAGCTCCAACTTCCCACCCCAAATCAAGAGTCACGTTCTCTACTGACTGAGCCAGCCAGGCGCCCCCTTTTTCTTTTCTTTTCTTTCTTTTTTTTTTTTTTTAATTTTAAGATTTTCAAAGACCTTGAGCAAAATTTCAGGGCATGCAGAATATCCACTCATCCAGATAGTTTTTCAGCTGCAGTATTTCAAAATGCACAACGCGGGCAGCCCGGGTGTGTCAGCGGTTTAGCGCCTGCCTTCAGCCCAGGCTGTGATCCTGGAGACCGAGGATAGAGTCCCACGTCAGGCTTCCTGCGTGGAGCCTGCTTCTCCCCCTGCGTCTCTCTCTCTCTCTCTTTGTGTCTCTCATGACTAAATAAATAAAAATCTTTTTAAAATATGACATAGCTACTTTAAAAAAATGTACAAGGCGGTGCAGGGGCCCTGCGGTGGGCGTAGAGATTCCTTCAACCAAATAAGATTTTAGAAATCAGCGCAGAAATACTTGAGGACGAGAGGACTGATCAGGATTTTATTTTATTCATTCATTCATTCATTCATCATCATTCATCATTCGAGACACACACACACAGAGAGAGAGAGAGAGAGAGAGAGACACAGGCAGAGAGAGAAGCAGGCTCCATGCAGGGAGCCCACGTGGGGCTCCTTGCCGGGTCTCCAGGATCGCGCCCTGGGCGGAAGGCGGAGCCAAACCTCTGAGCCACCCGGGCTGCCGGGATCAGGATTTTAAACCACCCTAGCAGGATCCTAAGCCGGTTGCGCCCTCCCCCCCCTCGCCTCTCGCCCACTGCGTTCGGCCGGACTTGTTTATGTTACCAGCTGGTGGACGCGCTGGCCGGAGCACATGGGCTTAACTTCCGCCGTCGCCGCCCTGGCCCCGCCCACAGAGCGCTGGGCTCCCGAGACAACCAACCGCCCAAGGCCGAGCCCGGAGCCCCGAGTGAGTGCCCAGCCGGCCCCCCGCCGCCTGGAGGCCGGTAGCTTAGACTTCAGCCTCGAGGAGAGAGACGGGTGATAACTGGTCCCAGGCCCTCCCCCTCCCCGGCGCCCCGCGGGGCAGCCGGCTTACCGCGTAGGCGCGCTGGGGTACTGGGTGCGCTGGAACACGCTCTCCAGCTCATGCAGCTGCACGCGGCTGAAGACGATGCGCTGGCCCGCCTGCTGCCCGTTGCCCGGCAGGGGACACGGGACGGTGGCCTGGGGCGGCTGCCCTGGCACTGGGCCCTGGTCGCCGTGCCCCTGGGGGGTCCCGTCGCCCGCCGGCAGTGGAAATCCCGCGGCCTCGTCACCCATTGCCTCCTCGCCGTCGCGCTGGCCTTCACCGTCACCGTCGCGCTGGCCCTGACCGTCGTCACCGTCGCGCTGGCCCTGACCGTCGTCACCGTCGCGCTGGCCCTGACCGTCACCCTCGCCGTCACCGTCACCCTCGCCGTCAGCTTCCTCCATGACCTGGTCTGCTCCCCTGCCGTGGTCAGGTGTGAACTCGGCCGCCGCTCCCTCCTGGGTCAGCGACATGGCCACAGGCTGGGTTTCTGCAAAGGAGGAAATCCACACGGAGAGATCAGGGCATCGGAGCCTAGACTGTGGGAGGCGGGAGGCAAGGGGCAGCAGCATCTGCGGGGCGTCGGGCCTGCTCCCCTCGCCCAGGGAACCTTCGTTTCTGGGGCTTGATGGGGGCACGTGTCCCAACCGGCACCGACCCTGCGGCTCTTCCCCGCCCTCGTCGACTCCCGGGCCGAGGAAGCCCATGACTTCGTCCCTGCGTCGGCTCAGAGGCTCCATAGCCCTCGCGCTGTTCCCTGCAGATCCCGCGCAGGGTCCTCCTGGATCCGTGGGTCGGGCGCAGAGAGGTGCCGTGCTGCCAGGCTCCCACGGAGCGGTCCTCGCGTTGTCAGGTTCCCCTGCTTCTGAGCAGACGGCCTCTCTCTATCTATATACACCCCCTCCGGAGGGGGGCGGGGTGGGCTCGCCGAGGTGCGCATGCGGCTGGGCTTGGCACCCCCCGGGCAGTGCACTTGCAGGGAGAGCTCCAGTGGGGAGCACTTTCTTTGCCCAGTGCATCCGTCGGTCGATGCCTAGCGAGAGAGGTTGAGTCTTCTTCAAGTCCCAGCTAGGCTCATGCGCCCCAAATCTGGGTCGGCTGAGAGGCAGACCTCCCCCTAGCTCTGGAGCCCTTGCAGAAGAAGCCTTGGGAGAATGTCTCTTGGGCCGGCCCTGCGTATCCAGCGGCGGCGACTAGGCAGGGAATAGGCATCCGACGAATGTCACGGGCTCCGAGGTGCCACTTGGAGGTTTTTCTGTGAGGCGCCTCAAGTCAGAGCCCGCCAGACTCCCCCCCCCCCCCCCCAGACTCCTGGGTACCCGAGAACAGAAGCTTGGGCTCGGGTCTTCTGAGCGTGCCTGGTGCTCAGACGCGCACTATGCACAGAAAACCGAGCTTGCGCCTTGAGAATGTCCGGCGCCTCTAGAATTTGAGTAATGAAGCCCCGTCTCAGTACAGGGCTCCGAACCCGCACAGCGCTCAGGGCGTTCCTGGTCTGCTGGAACTGTACGAGCTCCGGCTTGGTTGCGTTTTTCCCAGGCCTTTGGCTCAAACCTTTGTTTCTCTCATTGCAACCATGGATCCTGAAACCTGTTTGGGCTCAGCGTCTGTGCCTCTGCCCAGATGCTCTAGACAAGCATGCAAGGGTCCCCTTAGGGCGGGACCCTTGGGATCTGGGTGATGACCCACCCACTTTCTTGCCGCCATTTCTCCCCCACCCCTTTCCCTCCTCCCCTTAGTTTTTCTTCGTGTGTGTGTGTGTGTTTCAAAGATGTTATTTATATATTCATGAGAGATACGGAGAGAGAGGAGGCACAGGCACAGGCAGAGGGAGAAGCAGGCTCCGTGCAGGGAGCCCGACGTGGGACTCGATTCCGGGACCCCAGGATCGCGCCCCGGGGCCGATGGCAGCGCTAAACCACTGAGCCACCGGGGCTGCCCCCAGAGCTGTTTTACTGATGCCCCAGCACTTTTGTTAATATCCTGAATTTTGAACATAGCTCCTAACAACGGGTCCTGTGCGGGACAACGGACTTGACTTACCCTACGTTTACCGCACAGCCTCACTCCTCCAACTCCATTTGAAATCAGAAGCTGGGCAGCCCCGGTGGCTCAGCGGTTTAGCGCCGCCTTCGGCCCAGGGCGTGATCCTGGAGACCCGGGATCGAGTCCCACGTCGGGCTCCCTGCAGGGCGTCTGCTTCTCCCTCTGCCTGTGTCTCTGCCTCTCTCTCTCTCCTCTCTGTGTATTTAAATAAATAAAAAACCTTAAAAAAAATTGAAATCAGAAGCTGCCTCATTTCTGTGGGCTCCTAAAACGCATCTCGGGCCCTAGGTGCCTCACTAACTGTGCCTAAGGGGATGGAAGCGCGCCCCTTGCCCCGTGCTCCTGCAGGAGGGGCAAGAAACTAACTACAAAAGGTCTGTGGACCGATTCATTTTCAAAGAGGTGGTAAGGGATGGCAGTAGGACTGCCTCCTCCTGGCTCGCACCCAATGTTTCCTCCCCAGGTTGGCCCCTTGTTGGGTGCCACAGGCGCCCACCCCACCCCACGCCCCCTTGGCCCGACTGGACCCAAGGCACAACTGTGGACTTGAGATCAGTTACTGCGTGAGAGACCTACAAGGGTTTTCCTCCTCTTTGTGTTCGACTACCTACGATATCCGTGGCAGGTTCTTTCCTGTCTCAGGGCGCCACGGAGCGTTCACTCCTGGGTGCTCTCCTTCAGTCACTCACGTGAGCCTTGCCATACATCGCCCTACCTGGGCATCGGTTGTGGGTAGCGTTTACTTATTAAAATGTTTACTTAACCTTCTTCACACGTCGCACATATTAAAACCGGAATGGAGCATCATCCTCAGCAAAAACAGCCACGAGTCATGGTTCCGTGGGCCGGCGTCATGGGAGGGGGCTCTGGAGCCAGTCGGCTGCAACCTGCACCCCGGCTCGCTCACCCCTTGTTAGCTGGCTAACCTGTGGAGTTGCTTATTCTCACTTTACCCTGGTTTCCCCGTCTGTAAAAGGATAGCAGCAACAACTACCTCACCAGGGTGTGGCCGAACTCACCGAGACGACAAAAATCACATATTCCCGGTGGCCATACCTTGCCGTCGCACATTTCCGATTTCAGTCCATTTGTGTTTATTCATTAACGAGGGTCCGTGAGAGCAGCGAGGTGATGGTCACTCACTGGCAGGTGGCAATGAGGACAGCACGCTATCCTGTGACTATCAGGTCTGTCTTTGCCCTACCTGTCTTTGGGGGGGGGGGGCTTTCTGTTTTTCTGATTTTTTTGAAGTCCTCTCCACACCCAGTGTGGGGCTGGGGCCCGTGACTCCAAGACCAAGAGCCGCCCGCTCCACCCGCTGAGCCACCCGGTCTCATTGTACCTCCGTAGGCTTCAGTCCATAAACCTCTTTGGCTGCTGTGTTTACAGGGCCCTCTGCCAGGCAGCGTGGGGAGCATCTCTGGTCCAGACTCCTCCGCTGTGCATCGTGCCCCTCCCAGGCTGGGGAGAGACATCAGCCCACGTGAGAGAAGGAAGCAGAGACTGATGGGAGTCCCACCACCTCTAACTGGCTCTGTCTGTGTCCCAGGTAAATAAATCAGCTGACATCTCTATGCGTCCCATGCCGCCCCTCTGTAGCATGGGGCTCATGCTGGCCCCTGCTCTCCTGAGCTGTGCCATTTCCATTGATTCACACAGGGAATCCCCACGGGGAGTGCTCAGACTCCTGGAGCTGATGCTGGAGCTAAGAAGGGGTCAGGACCGTGTGGGGTCAGGCTGTACCTGGGCCCTCACCATGATCGGAGGTGCGGGACGTGGAGCCTCGCCCCCGCTCCTGAGCGGCTTGTGAGAACCTGTGGAGCCAACCTAGCTGTGCTTGCTCATGCTGGTGACCTCCTGTGAGTGCTCACTGTGCCCCAGGGCCTGGCTCTCAATCCTACCACCGTCCCGAGGAGGGAAGGGGGTTTGGGGGGCTGGGGGCGGTGGAGGCCATACTTTTTTTCTTAACCAAGGCAGCGAAGGCCTAGAGAGTGTCCGTGACTTTGACAAGGTGCAGAGCTTGGTGGAGGTGGGGCAGGATACAAACCTCTGAAGAGACTGTTCCTCGCAGCCACGGGTAGAAGCACACTGGGCTTCTGGGGAGCAGTGGGGGTTTCCCTTACACCTCAGAGGGACTCCAGGTTCCGCAAATGCTAAGCAAATGCTAAGCAGGCCATGCATGGAACCTCAGTGCAAGGGGGTAGTAGGAGCAGCCCCAGGAGGGAAGAAGCATACAGCTCATCTCAGGGGACCCAGACACAGCCAGGGTGGCTCTGGAGTGTGACCTGGAGAGGAAGCTAGAGAGGTGTCTGCAGAGAACTCTGTAATACTGAGGGGCACGTAGAGTTTACATGTTAGGTGTGTGGGGGGTGGTGAATTCAAGGAGGGCGTTGGAACTTGTATGTCTGGGATGATGGTTAAAGTGAGAGAGTTTTGGGCCAGGGGGAGCCCTGGCGGAAGCAGTGTTTTAGGATGAGTTTCTAGGAGGCGATTCTCTCAGCTGGTTCTTGGTTCAGTTCCTTGCGGTTAGTGGGGGTGGGCACCCAGGTCCAGAGCCAGAGTCCCTGCTTGGAGGCCACCGCTGTCCACCAGGTACATCGGAGGTCCCCTTCAGTTGGAATGTAAAATTCTGTGTGTGTAGTGGCATCTGTCTAAGTCACGTGTGCACTTGCATGGGCTCGAGTGGAGACGGTGCCCCTCACCACCCGCTCCCACCTCAAGAAATCTTCTAGGGAAGACCAGGGAATTGAGGAAAGTAAGCAGGCTCTGGACTTGGAGCGCTTGCATCTGGTTTCAGGGCACAGTTTCACTCCTTCCGCTTTCCTGCTATCCGCTCACTATGTGACACTGGCAGGCCTGACTGTCTCTCGCCGCCTTTTCCCCAACCGAAAATAGGGCAACTATTCCTACTACTACCAGTGTTCACTAAAATAATGATAATCACCTCACAGAATTCTTAGGAAGTATGGAAAGATGGTTTCCCTTTCTCTCTCCTTTCTTCTCTCTTTTCTCTCTCCCCCCTCCCCTTCCTCCCTCCTTTCTTCCTTCCTCCATCATCTACTCCTGTCTTCTCCGTCCCTCCCTCCATTCTTTCCATTCATCTTCCTCTCCTCTGCCCATACTTCTCTTCTGGCTGTGATCATTTAAAAGAAACTCAAGGGCAGGGCACCTGGCTGCCTCAGGCAGTGGAGCATGGGACTCTCGATCTCCAGGTTGTGTGTTTGAGGCCCCTGTTGGCTGTCGAGATTACTTAACAAACAAAAGCAAAAACCAACCAAACAAACAAAAACAACCTTTTAAGAAATGAATGAAACTCAAGACAGTATGTCTTTTCATCTCTACACCTTTATAGTATGGAGTTTCCAAAAAACTTAGACACTTCACCTCCATAACCACAGCGCAATCCGAGCCTCGAAATAGCAGCAACAATCTGTTGGAGGGATGCCTGGGTGGCTC